TTTTTTTTGACATCTAAAATACTTCTTTGAGTTATTCTAACACTTATGATTAACATATCTATGTATTTGAAATATTCTTAACATTTACATTTTCATTTAAGGTGAAGTATCAAGAAAAACATATTTTTACTTTATGAGTCTAATGAGTTTGATCTTAAAGCACAAATGACTTATAATATGGCAATCAATCCTATCGATATATCTAGATTGATATTCAACCAAGGATTGCGTTACTAGGGTGCAATGTACTCGCCTTGATAACGTTGAAGACGGAAGTGATAGGAATAAAGTATACGCCTCAACGAACGTTCAACGTACGGACACCTCTATCAACTTCAAGCTTCCAACGTCGGGTCTTCTCTACAATACTCTCTAGGAGTTCCTAATAATCGTTAGATAATCGACGATAAGAGTTTTGAACGGAATGGAAAGAATATTGAAAAGAAGGTAGTCAAATCCGAGAGACCCGTCGCCACCGACGCAGTCTCGGTATTTTGACCATATCTCCTTCGTTTCTCAACGAAATCGCAAACCGTTTGATGCGTTGGATTCGCGACATCCGGGGCTACGATTTTGGTATAATAAATAATTCGAGAAAATGAATAGAGAATTACAGAATTTACGAAGAAGTTGCTGCTGCGTTTTTCACTCAGGATTTTAGAAACTTTGATGTTTCTCCTTGCTCCTTCTTCTTCTTCTTGGCTCAACAATGGATATGGAATCCTTTCTCCTCCTCCTTTGTGACTGACCGACAGAGAGAGAGTGTGAAGAGGGATTGAGAGTGTGGAATTGACAAAGTGGAGAAGGAGTTAATATTTAATACACTCCACCTTTGGAGGTATTATGCTAGTGGATGAATTAGTGGGTGTAGGGTGGCTTGATTGAGGATTTGAGGAGATTGAGGCTGCGTGATTGAAGACTTTGGAGAATTAAAAATATTCTCCTACTCCGTAACTGATAAACTGGTTAAAACGGTACGCGCTTTTTCGCCCAAACTGTTCCGTTTTGAAAATGGATCGCGTTTTTGGAATCAGACTGTTAAAACTAAAACTTTGATATAATTAAAATATTTTTCTGAAAACTTTTATTTTTCAGTGTTCGGGTCTGTCTCAGTTGTTAATTAATATTTAAATTAATTAATTCTTTTAGGCCTAATTTCGGGGCGTTACAGTGTGACGTGTAAAATCCTACGAATCGGTCGTCCTGTGCACTACGCCGATCAACAAACATATAGAATTTGAATCCTGAGTCAGCCATGTCTTCTTCTTCCCCTCACCACTTCTACATAAGGATTACTCAACTCCTTCAATTTTTCACCATTATTCATAATTCTTTATTTTATCCTGTTCCTTGGAGTGTGAATAGTGTAGTGGTGTTGTCCATAGAGTGAGAGGTCGCTGATGTAAGCCATAATCCTTGCAGGAAAATTTTCAAAACCTCCATTTAAGCCTGAATGAAGTAAGCCCTTAGATAAATCTAATGATTAGAATGTTCATATAGATCGTCTCTACGTTTATAAATGATTGTTTGGTTAAGTTTTATGTTTAACATGTTTGAAGAACCAAGAATCATAAACTTGGAAATTGTTGTTAAAACTACAAACTAATGATACCAAAATGATCTATGAAATTTGTAAAACATTTCTATATAGTTTAATTCAAGTTTAATGACTAAAAAAGAATTTTTCGAAAAATTGTCCCGAGGTTGAAGATGACATTGTTTAAACTACGCGCAGAAACGATATCAACTACCGTCCGCACGGTACCTAGAAACTGCCGGCACGGTAGCCCGTATTAGGGATGTTCATCGGCTCAAACCCGGACCGGAACCGAATAAGGGGCATTTGGTGGACCAAGGACCGGACCGATTAAGCTAAGGACCGGCCCGAGACCGGACCGGTAAAACCCAGACCGAATCGGGACCGGACCGAATAAATGTTATTTTTAAATTTTTTTAAATTTGATTTTATTTATTTAATTTAAAGTATTCAATTGAATAAAAATATTACTACAACTAATTTTTAATTGTAACATACAATAAACATTGTCACACACAGTTGTTTTGAATTTTTAAAAAAAGTTTAAATGAACTATATATATATATAGATTATTTTATATTAAATCAACTTCAATTCAAGTTACTGCTTCGAAAAATATTTCTCAAATTATGCTCTAAAATCCTATTTTTGATACCAACTAATTATAGACAATATAAATATGATTTTGTACAATAAAATGATGTTTTGACATATAAAAACGTAATGTGATGCATGACGGTAAGTTCGGGTGTTAACACTCGATACTAGACCACTATTTGTTATTAGATTTTATGATTGTTTGACTATTGATTATGATAATTAATTATGTTGAATACTCTGAATGACGATCATGAATTGTTAAGTTGAGAATAATGAATTAATAAATCATGCTATTAAGTCTACTTAGAAGACCTCTAAGATAGACCTCTGATTAGAATGGGCCTTGCGGGTATAAAACGTATATTCGGTGGCCTTGGGTAAAAACGTACGTACGGGATCCATAACCAAACTAGAGGAACTCGTTTGGGGATACCACCCAACCCGACAGTCAGTATCCTACTGTTCGGTTTTCTGGATTTGTACCTTAAGCGAAGGCTAGTTTAAGAGTTGGTAAATCAATCGGAATATATGTACCTTAAACTAATGACCTAGCTTAAGAGTTGGTTAGAAGTACCTTAAACTCTAATAAGTTTAAGAGTTGGATAAAAGTACATTAAAACTAGAATTAGTTTAAGAGTTGGATAGAAGTACCTTAAACTAGAACTAGTTTAAGAGTTGGTAAACATTAAAAAGATTGGCCTTAGACTAAGAATAGTTTAAGGATATTATTATTGAATGACGAATGTTGAATATTGATTATTGTATATTTGAACTGAATACTTTGTGCATGATATCAAATGATTTGATTATGAATTTGGGTTCAATTTATATGGATGTTCGACGCTTTAGATATGCTTACTCAGCTTCACCGCTGAGCGTGTAGTATGTTTTATTTGCTACACGCAGGTTAATAGAAAGAATGATGTGACGAGATTCTGGAGGCAGACGGAGGCGAGATTGTCGGAATGGATGTGATGGTTTTGATTTAAAGAACATAAATAAATTATGTTTATAATTATGATTTGTTAAGCTTCCGCAATATTGAAAACTCCGCACCGTATATGTTATGAAAAATATTGTCGTGATAAATAAAAGTGTTTGAAAAGTTTTAAATTTTACGATTATCAAGTTAATACTTTAGTCTGAAAGGGGCTGCAGACCTGGACGGATTAGGGTGTTACATTTTGGTATCGGAGCAAATGGTTTTAAAACCGATCTTCGGATCAAAATTTGAATTAAAAAAAAAATGTGTCAGTCACATCCACGACTCTCGCATCCCTCTGCTCCAGGAAAGGTATGAGAATTTACTAGATACATATTGACTTTGTTAAAATTCTCATTAAATAAAAATTGTTAGTTCTAAAATTATATCGAGTGTAGACTCAAGTAGAAATTTTCGTACTCGGTGAGGAGACGAAAGAATGAACAAAAATATATGACCCTCTAATCCGTTATTAACGTACGCATCGCATCGCGAATTACGAAACTGTTCTGCCTCGTAAAGTCGCATGGAAGTGAGATGACTCTGAAGAAATGAATAATGTTGATTTTACGAAGAACATCTGTGAACCCAATGCTGGAGATCCTCAAGTGGACTAAACACGATTGGATCGCTGATTCAAACGTTTAGAATCAATAAACTCTGTTATATAAAGTATTTTCATTCCGTTATATCTTGTAAATCAAAATTATTCGTTAAGCAACAATTCCTTGCAAAACCTCGTTGAAATATCATACAAGCAAATTGACGTTATCCTTAGTATGAATTGGCTCACTAAAGACCAATGATGGTAACCTCATGGAGGTGAAAGCAAAGCTGAATACTAAACCGACCAAGTTCATCTCGAATATATATACGAAAACATCTCAAGTGTGAAGTCTATTCGTACGATACCCAAAAAGAAACATCTAAGCTGAAGGAACGTACCAAAAGTATGTCACCCCTCTGATATGAACTTCTTTATATTTCACCGTTCCAAGAAATTGAAAACTCTGTCAATCTTGATCCTCGAGAGGACCAATATTTGTAACTCTGTATTGAATATGTTTCCGTCAAAACTAAAAACTCAGCTATGAAGATTGCCTGACAAGGAATCATCTGACAAAGTGTTTTCTCTAATGGAGAGTATCTGTTCTGTTCAAACGTGAATAAGGAAGAATCAATGAGACTCTATATCAACTACTGTCAGTTGAACAATTCGTTATCCTTTACTTCATATCATGACTTATTTGATCAGCTTAGAGGATCCATTGTATTCTCTAAGATTGACTTACGGTCAAGATACTAACACATCTCTGTTAAGAATGATGGACAAACTGACGATCGAGAATCGCTACCCTT